AAATGCATAAAAGACACATTTGACAGGAAAGAACTTCAGCATCAGTACAGACACACACAGTCTCCTCAATCAGAGCCGCAAGGGCTCAGAATCCAGGAGGCCCAGTTTCAGCTGCCTGAAGAGCCGTTTTTGGATAGTAATGCTTGCGCAAGCAGCTGTTGAAAAGTGAGCAGATCGGACACCTGTACAAAGTTGTACATCAGGCATAGGTGGACATAATACAAACAGATCCAGACTTTGGAATGAAAGAGACCAATGGAATCAGGTAACCGTGATGTCTAAACCAAACGACGCAGGCTGACGCGCCCAAGAGAAACCACCGGTGCAAAGGCCGTTGTATAATTTGTATCATCGCCTCCATTCAGGCTTGTTCAAGGAGCAACCTCAAACGTTGCTGAGTCTTTAAAGATCATTAACTTTCCATAATCACCTTGGCTGCATTCCTCTTAGAGTTTCCACATGCAGTTATAAAAACTAAATCCCCTGTGATAAAAATGTTGTAATTAAAATCTTTCCTTCCTCATCTGTTAATAATGCTCATCCAATGCCAAGGAGAACCCCTTAAACATCCCACTTCGGGGCAGTTGGCAGGCGTCCATCATCGCTTGCGGCCGGCAGCCTGCTGCTTGGATTTTATTGTTTTCACCTAAGATTTTCCTGTTCTTACGTGATCGGAAATAAACTCAGCTTCTCCATCTTACGACAGGACTTTCCGATCGTGCCCTGACTGGTGGGGGCAGGCAGGCAGGGCTGCGTTAATTTTCCCCAGCAGGAAGGGCTTTCGGTCTCCGGGGACGGGCGTCTGTCCTGGAGGGCGCGTCGTCTGGGTCTCTCTCCGGGCGCTCCCCACTCAGGGGCGGTCAGGGCCCCGCTGAGCGCCCTGAGTCTCCCTCGGGCCCAGGGGTCGGGACGGAGAGAGAGAAGGGGCTGGGCGTCCAGACGGGAGCTCTGGAACTTGAAGACGGAAGCTTTAAAGCGACTTGGAGAAGTTGAGGCTTCTCGGGACGCATTCAGACAGACTGCTCAGGGCGCCCTGCGGACCTGTGCGCTGGCAGCGGCACCTGATCGGGGGGTGGGGAAAGCAGGGCTGGGTCTCTGCAAACGAGTGTAACCAGGGCCGTGACCTCTCAGAGGCCTCACACTAAATCTGCAGGTGTCATTGTTCTTTTTTTGCCCGTAGTGCTTAAAATATTTTGAATTAGATATTACTATTTTTAAAATCTTCATAACTTAAGTATGTCCTATTTTTCACATCCTGTTTTCATAACAGTTGGCCGCAGCTACTTAGTTACTGTCCTGTCGGGTCAGTGATGGGCTCCTTTTGGTTCATCTACATCCGCTGCTTCCTCCGGTCGCTCGTCCTGAGACCCTCAGCCCCTCGGCGCGCCCTGCGCCTTCAGCTGGAGCCTCGCGCTCCCAGCGTCCAGGGCCGCCGAGCCGCGGCGCGGAGCTGCCCTGCTGCTGGGAAAGGGGGCCCTCGCCGGTTCACCCCAGTGCGAGCAGCCGCGTGTCCCTCGCGGCTGCCTCAGGAGCTAGGGGGCAGTGAGGGAGATTTGTGTCATACCCCTCAGGCTGCCCTGCTCCGAGCCACGCCTGTGCAAACGCTGGGAAGTGACGGTATTTTCCCAAAATCAACCCCAGTCACCCCTCCTTGGGACATAGAGTGACAGTCGTCATCCAAGGAGAATTTCTTTATGCAGGAACGCTCAATGGCATGGTGAATACATTTTAAAATTTTGCACTGGAATAGTCTTCCTAAAACGTGGAGACTTCACGCGGAAAGGGTGCCGCGCCGGCCGCCCGCCTGAGCCTCGTCCCTCGCACTGCAGCAACCCAGCGCGCCGGGGGCCGCGCAGTCCTGGCCTTGGCTTCCGTTCTGCCTGACACGGCGCGGCCGGCGCGGTCAGGCTTCCCACTGCGTCTCCGGAGCCCTGAGGCCTCTTCGTGACAGGGCGGCCCCGCTCCTCTGGGCTGACCAGCGGTTGATGGCCAGCGAGCGCGAGGGGCCGGCCTCGGGCCGGGTGGTCCTTCCGGCCGGAGCCGCCCCCGAAGGACCGACAGCCAAGGACCGACGGCCGGCTGGGCCCCGTCGGCAGTGCCTCCCGCGCCCGGGGCGTCGGCACTTCGGTCCTGAGGGGGCGGGGGTCCCAGCCGCCACTCCCGTGTCACTGAGAGCGTTTCCTTTCTGGTCACTGTTCGTCGTGCGGGCAGTTGCTCTGAACCGTGTGGGAGGGTGAGGACGGGATCTTGTTTTTGACCAGAATATTTTGCAGCCCTTATTTTACTCTCATTTCATTCAAAGCCTGAGGTATCGTTCTTCATATTGAATCATTAATAATTAATTGTCGCTATTTTTATTTCTCCACAAAATGAATGGCTTTCTGTAACCTCTCTACGTCATTGAATAGTGAAATGGATTTTTAAAATCAATGTTACAAGGTACTTCCAATCCCTTATCTCATGTCGCTGATTTTCAAAGTCTTAATAAATAGCTAGTGAAGCTATGAAAATACAATCAGCAAAGATCGTGTGTTATGGTTCTTACATTTCTAAAAAGGAAGGAGACAACAGGAAGCTCGTAACAGACCATCTTTTATGCAGATGTGTCGAGACTACAACGTCAGCAGGGACATTTCCGTTATTCCAGGCCTGGAGAGGGACGGGGGGCCGCCCGTGGCAGCGGAAGAGGCCCGGCCGGGTCGCCAGGGCTCCCGGGCCGGGGAGGCAGCGAGCCTTTGCCCCCGGCTGCCAGGACGCCTCCTCTCGTTCTCACATGGGTTAAGGATTTCACCAGGGTGATGTTTGCAGTTTAAAATGATTCACCTGTGTCATATTAAATGCTGGCATAATTGCCCGTTTTCTGGAGGTTGCTTCTTCCAAACAGCTCCCGCCAGCACCCACGCGGCTCTCCGTGATTCTCCAGAATTTCTGGGGCTGTTAATCCCTAATCACTTTCTCACGCTGATTGTCCACAGTTTCAGATAATATAACAATGCAACAGCTTCTAAACGTTCTTAGTACAGTAATCATGGTCATAAATTTTAAAAAATACTCATTTTCATGAAATGCTGTAACGTAAGACACTTCTTTTCCCAAGACTTTGCATTTGAAGATGCAAAAAAATAACTATTTTAGACAGTCCAAGCAAATTTGCAGTCTATGTCGTATTTAGTTATTCAACAGTCACCTGAACACACACAGTTTCCAAGCGCAGAGGAATCAGAGATATGCAAATCCTTCAGGCGTGACTCCGCCCTGCCAGAAGCTCGGGAGAGATGGAATGAAACCGGAACATCGTGGTGCAGAGTATTCTCACCCACCCCCCACCCGTGGAGGCATGATCCTGGGGCGACAACACAGGGGAGGCTGTGCCCAGGCCGAGCAAGGGCCCCCCAGGAGGGAGGGGGGCGTGTGTGCTCATTCTGAAGACTCAGTCCCCCACATGACTGGGTGCCACACAGAGGCAGTTTCTTATGAGGGAGAAGCAGGGAATGAGCCTGGAAACCCAGGTGGGCAGGCCCTCCCGGGACGGGGGCGGAGGTTTACCCGACGTCCCGGAAGACACAGAGTGAGACCCCAATTTTACTTTTGTGTTGCAGTCATGCTGATGGCAATGTGGGGTGGACGGGGAGAAAGAGGAGGCAATGTTCAGGAGATTTCTTAGATGAGTATGGAATAAACACCTCATTGAGAGTGTACGTTTGACGGAATAAAGAAACTGCCTTCCTAAAAGACCGCATTTCTGTGTCCAGAGCGCAGCCCCCGGGTGCGGTGAAGAGGAACACAGACCGTGACGCACTGACGTCAGGGGCGGGGCTGCTTGCTGTGTCCCGAGTGTCGAGTTCAGCTAATGACAGAAGCCAGCAAATTACTCAGCTTCCCGGGGATTTTTGCAAAATCTTTATTGTAATTACTACATAAATTAGCTTCATTAAATGCACATGAAATCCTTACAGAAAACACATTAAAATACGAATAGCAGTTTTCTAAACATTTAATGGGGAGAAAAAAACCTTTAAAATAGCCATCGTCTTCACATTACTCTGAATAATTTTGATTTTTTAAAGCACAATAGAATAATGTCACTGTAATGTTCCTGGGAGTCAACTCCTCATTTTAAAACTTTGAAAAGTCACTGAGTAAAACTGCTGTTGAGCAGCCGTCACAGATACAACCACCGGGGTGATGGGCAGTTCGCCGAAGCTTTGCGCAAACAGTATGTGTGATTCACTATTAACCTATTTTTTTAGTTGCATTAAAATTATTGTGCTTTTCAGTAATTTTAGTTGGAATATGTAGAGAGAATTTTTCTTCCCAAACTTTGAAATGTAACCTGCTGTTCACGTCACAGGGGCGCCAAGGATTTTGGATGCTGTGATAGTGCGGTTTAAAATAGCTCTTGAGCCTGCCTGTGATACGTGCTGCTTTTAGGGGCAGGAAGCAAAATGTGATTATGATCAGGCTGTCTTTTCTTAAAATATGGCCCACCGTACGTTAAAAAAAAAAATTCAGCCGAGTAAACGTGAGGCTCTAATCGGCTTTCTCAGGTGATTCTTGGATTGGGGAGCCTCCTGCCCAGCAATCAGAGGGTGCCCTGAGGGGCTGTGCGAAACGGATGGATTCTGTAGGAGGGGGTGGGGCAAGCGAGCAGTCTGCTCCGGGAAAGAACGGACTTAGACTCTGGGTACCTTTTCTTCAGGGTAAGGGAAGGGGAAGGGCTTTACTATATTGCACCTTCCTTCTGGGGTGAGGGGGTGGCGGTCACCTGTCACCTAGGTCACCTCCCTGGTGCTGGGACACTCTCTTTAAGTGCATTTTCCTTAATTGTGGTCATACAGGGTCATCTGTTGTCTTTAATGGCATCAACCTCATTAAAATATAATTTAGGATATGTTTGAGTACAACTGTATGAGTAAGTATTGTTATGTATTGCATTTCTTCTTGTTTTTTAAATGTGCACATCAGTAACAAAACTTACAACGCGATTATTTTCCTTCTAGATTTATTCCTCACGACATTATCTGCCTCGGGTACCTCCCAGTTTGAGATATGGAAAAACGTGGTAAGAAATCTTTTCTCAGAGGCTTTTTCAAATGATGACTTTCAGTAAGAGCACAGAATTTTAGAAAATAAAACAGAATTAGTTGCTTGGTCGGTTGGTTTCAACAATAAATAGAACAACTTTAAGAGCCGTGGGTTGCGTTGCCGCATCCAAACTGCCAAGCGTCACTGAAGGAGACGCCTCATTCGGCATCGGCTCCTCCGCGGGTCTCCGGCACGTCAGCCAGTCACACCAGTCAGTCTGCCCTCGTGCAGGCGCTCACGGGCCACTGCCGGGCTGTCCGTCAGCTGCTGAGGGAGGGCGCTGTCATTTAATTTGCCAGCATGGTGTTGTATTGAAGAAAACCTTTTTTAAAAGACTAATGCTTCCTCTTCGCTTTGAGGCTTATATTAAAAAAAAAAAAAAAAGCAGAAAACAGATACTAAACTTATCACCTAGGTGACCAAGATTAAGAAGTCTTTCCATATGTGTGTGTGTATATATATATATATATTTTAATGGCAAATAGAAGATTCCCAAACTGAAGTCATGATTTTATTCCATTCTTAGCTTGATAATGCATTATATGAAAGAGCAATCCATGAAGAATAAATTAGCCAGATCTTAAAGCTGAATTTCAGGCTCCACAGGAGAGGACATGTCACGGTCACCTTCCTTGGACAGAATCGGGTCTCAGGGCCGCCTGCGCAGAGGGTGTGTGCGGAGTCAGTGAGACGCTGTGTGTAAGGGGCTGGGCACCCCAGAGGCACTGAGCAGATTTTAGGCTCATCTCTCTCGGTTTCCAGCTATTTACTATTGATTGTCTTTTATTCGATCCACATTAAGTCCCTAACATTTATAGGCTTTTATCAAATTACTGATGAAAAAATAAGCGGATGTGAGACAACGGGAAGCACCAGCTTGGGGAGGGAGGTCCATCAGCGGCCGCCTCGGTCAGCACAGGGGGCGGGGCGAGGGTTGCCGGGCCCGGGGTCTGCAGTGCCCCTCTCCGCTGAGTGGAGCCGCCGGCCCTTTCCCTTCACCGGCCACAGAGGAGGAGGAAACCCTCCAAACCAGAAAGATTTATCTTCGTTTATTGTACCACTCGTTAAAAACCATAACCAGCCCTGACCAGTGTGCCTCAGTGGACTGGACGTTGTCCCGCGACGTGCAAGGTCAGGGCGCAGGCCTGGTTGTGGGTTCGGGTCCCGGATGGACACATGCAAGAGGCAACCAACCGGTGTTTCTTACATTGGTGTTTCTCTCCTTTTCTCTCTCCCACCCTTCCCTTCTTTCTAGATATAAATTCTTTTTTAATTTTAAAAATGTAATTTTATTTGTTTTTCTGGTAATAGAAAAATATGGTTGTCATATTCTTAATGATTGCTCTACATTAAATCCTCCACTGCCGGGGATATTTGTTTTCAGGTGGCCTTGAAAATAATACTTGACTCGAGGTAATTAAAAATGAGACAGTCAATCACTTTGATTAACTCGACCCAGTGGGCAGGGGAAGCCGTGACGGCGAGTAAATGTAATGGATACGTGAAGTCACGAATCGCCTCTAAGTGCCTAGGCTGACCAAAGGTAGTACAGTGGACCAGCTCAGAGGGGGGGTCTTTATGAAGAGACTAGATTTCGATTGGGACCTTTTCTCCCTTTATTCATGTTTTCTTTAAAGAAAACGAGCTGGCTGTGGGGCAGCAGACACTAAGGTCTGGCCTTGCCATGGGCCAGCTGGGCCAGCGGGGCACACGGCGCCCGTTAGGCCAGCGGAGGCGAGTGCAGGCCGGGAACTAGCCAGCGCGCGGGGGGCGAGCCCCGCGAACCGGAGGCTCGCGGCGGCCAGGATGGGACGCTCAGCTCGCAGCGACGCGCTGGCTGGCCCGCCGCGCAGAGCACGTCCTGATCTGTCGCTCCGCGGGTCCCTTCTGGAGCCCTCCAGTCGGAGAGGCACGACCCAGCGCAGTAAGTGGCTCTTCCAAAGCGATGCCACTTGCGAGCGGGCGCGGGGTCAGCACTCAGTGTCCAGCGCGCACCCTGCGGGACGAGCCGCTCGCTCAGTGTGAGGGGCGCTGACCGCCTTTGCCTTTCCTGCATTAAGTAGGCAGATGGCAGGCTCGTCACTGAAAGTCAGAGTCGCCAAGTGTCACTTTTAAACGTGGGATCCACTCAGAGTGATGGCATTGATGATGGCGTTTATCGAATCATTTTTATCAAGTGGGCATTACGTAACTGACAGGAAGCTGAGTGGAAGGAGAGCTGGCCGGGCCTGGGCCGCCGCGGGGCGTGAAGAACAGGGCTGGCTGGCGGGAAGTTAGGGTCCATGGGGAGCCGTCGGCTCCCCGCGCGCCCTCCGGGTGGCGCCCGGCACGCCGTCGCGGAGCGAGACCCGGCTCTTCCCCCGCAGTGAACGGGCTGGCGGCGGCCCTTCCTGCGCCGAGGCCCGCGGGCGCCGCCGGGGGAGCCCTCGCTGCTTCCGGGCGGAGCTGCAGGCGGGGGTCACGGGCGGAGGCGTTTCCGGGTGCGCATTGCCGAGGCTGCTCGGCGTCCATGGGCAGTCCGTTCACTCGAGCCGGCGTGACCGGGTGGGGTTCAGCCTCGCGCCCGGACGCAGGTCCCCACCCCCACGCAGCGCCGCCTTGTGTTTCACCGTAACAGTGGAGCGGCGAACCGGAATGATGTTCACGCGGTGCGACAGAAGCCTGACATTATTTATTTCCCTGCTTTAGTTAAACGCTTTATGTCGCAGTTGACAAATGAATTATGATGGTCTAACCCGGAACTGCCTGCCTTTTACAGGATGGGAATTTCTCGCTCAGCTCCGAACTCCAGGCGCCCCCGAGCGTGGTGGTGGTCGGGCAGTCGGCCTTCGCGGACTTCGGTAAGGACCCCCCTCCTGCAGCTCCCCGGCCGGCGGTGGCTCCGTGGCCGAGGGCAGCCCCCGTGCTGCCGCCGCCGGGCGTTGCAGGCTCGGCCCGCCCGCCCGGCGACGGGCGAGGGCGAGGGAAGGAGGTCGCGGGCCTCCTGCAGCCTGAACCCCGACGCCGGCTGTGCTCACACGTTAAGGCCAGAGCGGGGCGCTGTCCCTCGGCAGCTGGCGGCGAGACGGCCTGCGAGCCCGCTGCCCGCAGACCCCGCACTGTGGGTCAGGTCCGCGCCGGGCAGGGCCTTCAGACGCCGGGCCCCGCGTGAGCTCTCGGGGTCTGAGGGGCGCAAGGTTTTGTTCCGGTGGGAGAGGGTCTGGACGGCCACCGCCTGCGTCCTGCCCCGACGCCTCAGCCTGTGCCCGCAGCGCGGGTGGCGGCTCCCCACAACTAGAGGCCTCCGTTTCTCCTTTGGGAGGTGGCGCGGCCGCTGCCTCCGCCTCCGCCACCGCCTCCGCCTCACGAGGCTGTGGCGACGGACGCAGCGCCGGGGCGCAGGGCAGGGGCCGGGACTCGGAGTCTCTCGCTGGCCTGGCACCGCCGCCGCCGCTCGTTACGCAGGTGACGCTCTCAGCGGGCGGCAGGGCCCGCGGGGGTCCTCTGAGCGGGGTGTCGATGACGTGAGTCTCCACGTTGCGCTGGAACTGCGTTTTATTGCACTGCGTTCTCCTGTGACCTAGAGCAGATTTCTAGCGCCCAATTTGCAGCCTTTAATGCGGACGGTCAAGTGGCAGAATACGGGGTTTTTTTGGTGAGCCGGTTGGCGGGCCCTCGGCGCGTCTCTGTCCGGGCAGGCGGCGCGGGGAAGACGCGCCCAACGAGAGCGATTTGTCTGAGGACTGTGCGTTTGCCATGATGAAGTGCCTTGCTTTTACCAGAATTATTAGTAGCTTTATTTTAAGTGTTTTTTAAATTGCAATGAGCATAGACATTTACAAGTTCGTAAATTTTTTAATGTGCAGGATATAGGATGTAGCCAATTAAGAAACACTACATTTCTTCCCCATTTTTAATGACTTGAGGTAGTATATGAGTAAACTTTTTTTGTAATGTACCCGTGACCTTCCAATAAATATCCCGCAATGTCTACTTAAAAGTCCTTACATTCTTAGTTGGGCGTTATAAAAAAATAACACTGCTAGTGAGTCCCAGAAAGCAGATGGCACTGAATAAGCTTATGAATATTAATAGGTATAAAATATGCGTTTTCCTTACACTCGAATAAGCCAGTGAATTGCTTCCTGCCCTTCATCTTCCATCCTCCCCTCCCTTTGAGCCAAGTCAGGGGAAGTGACTGACGGGCAGGAAGTGAGCGTGACCTCAGACATTTGCCCGTCCTCGTGCTTGAACAAGTGCCCTCGCGCCCGGGAAGAACCCCGCTCCAAAAGCCAGGGCCCGGGCGGCCCCCAGCTCATGTAGGTCGTCTGGGAACAGAAGCGGGTACAGCTCTGATGAAGTTTTTAGCTCCCAACATAAAATATTAAAAGATATTTTTAAACTCTAGGCCATGCTGCGTATCCACAATGCTGCGGGCAGCGTGGTTCGAGATTAGTTCAGGATCCTTTAGCAAATAAAGACAGGAAATAACTGCAGTCAAGCATTGGGTGACGGCCAGGACGCGCTCTGTGAAACACGTGGTCAGGTGATTCTGTCGTGCAAGCGCCATAGCCTGCACGTGCTTGTACAGCATGTCACCTCAATACTGTAGAGTTGTAACACGGTGGGAAATACTTATACATCTAAATTCTGTATAAAAAAGATGGCAGGCCTGGGTACAGCACTCAGCAGGGCCGGAGCCTGAGGGCTGGGAGCCGCCCTGGGCGGGTCGCCAGGGAAGGCGAGTGAGTGTGAAGGCCCAGACATGGCTGCGCACTGCGTGGTCTGCACTGCGTGGCCTGCACAGACAGTGCGCACCAGGGCCCGGAGCTGGTGGAACAACAGGATTAAATCAAGCGTGAGAGGAAATGATGCAGGCGAGATGCGGTGAGTGCACGGCGTGCCCGGCAGCTGCGGTATTGACATGGCGTTACAGTGAACTTTGTACTTAACTAGAAAACACTCAAGTAACGATTGAAAGTATCCTAAGTAAGTGCACAGACCAGTCGCACAGCCGTTCATCATTATCGTGTCTGTATCGTGTACGGATTGCATGAGCCGTACTTTTACGACTGGCAGCTCAGGAGGCCCCTTTGCACCAGTATCACCGCAGACATGTATGCGTCGCACTGTGATGTTACTACGGCTACAGTGTCACGAAGCGACAGACTTTTTTTCAGCTCCTTTTAGTCTTACAGAATAATCGTATATGGGGTTCACTGTTGACCAAAATGTTGTTAGGTGACGAATGACTGTATTCAAGCTAATTAAAATGTTATTTCCTGTGCGCGACTGCTGTGTAAGACAGCCAGGATCTTTAAGGTGAGGGCCTTGCCTTTAAGGAATTTGCAGTCTCGTTAGGAAGACAAAAGGCAAATGTGTAAAAAAAATCAGGATAAAGAAACAAATAGCTGCTACCATGTAGGGGAAACCAGACTGCGCCTCACTGCTGTGTACGAAATCGGTGCCATGAGCATGGTGTGGCCGGGTCTCGTGACGGCTCAGGCGAGGCCAGGCCAAGCAGAGCGGGCTCACGCGGGGCTTGGGAGGACTGTGCGGTGTGGCTCGGGTAGCTGGAGGCATGCACACAGGCCGTGGGTCGCGAGTCCTGCGTGAGCCCGTTTGGCTTGAATAGAGTTTCTGTGAAAACGTGGAAACATGAAAATGGACCGCGGACACGCTGGAGGACCAAGTGAGTCACAGAGGGACGAATGTTCGTCTGGTTCCGTGGAAGTGGGTGGAGGTCATAGAACAACCTGAACACTCTTTTCTAAGTGTCTTTTTCAATTAACGGTAGAAAGTAACTGGAACAAAGTCTTCTGGTCTGGTGGGCTTCACAGACACTGATGTTGCTCGGGCATAGAATAGGAATTTAGGGGAGGGTTATTAGAATCTCCGAGATGCCTGAGATTTTTTTATGTCAAAAGGGGCAGATTTAAACTGCTTTAACAAACTGGATTTGAACGACACCTTAGGCAGAGCTCCCTGGCCGTGCCACCGCACCAGAAGCAATGGCTACTGCTGCTGCCACCAGCCCAAGGGAGCAGGGCCCGGGCCTCACGCAGGGTCTGCAGCCCACAGGTGCTGTTGGTAGGGGAGCCATCATTTTCTGGAAGGCACACCGTGCATGTTCCCCTTTTAAACTCTATATTGAGTCTCTTCCTAGGTAGGCTCAGAATATCAAATCCTAGAATTTCTACAAATTAGATGATACCTCTTTATTCAATTACATGGGACAACAAAGTCAAGAAAAATAAGGTACATTTTTTCTATGAAAGAAAAGATTACATACAACCAGACTTAGAGTAAACATGTATTAATCTTGTATCTAATGCCAGATGTACTAGAAATCAATAAAAAGCTACAAAACTGAAATGAGAACAGAAACCCTAGCAGAATGTCAGCATTTTCTGTAGATGGAATCACATTGTAAACCTCATAATACATACATTTATCTGTCCCAGCCTGCTGACGCCTGTGTGTCTGATAGTCACCGGGAGATCCTACTTTATTCTGCAAGTGGAGGAGGGATACCCAGCATGTTGGTGAAGCCTGGGGCTCGTCAGTCAGTCTCCTGAATCATCCTATAAAAAAATGAAGGCGCTAATGAAAAGAGGCGATGTTGTCATCGTGAACATTATTAACATATTGGAAAATATTGAACCCCTTAAAGACGGCATCACGGCTGGTTGAGAGCAAAGCTCGCTCGGCATGATTTCATCCTCAGATGTGCTCAGAAGCTTCCAGGAGACTTGCCGAGAGGATGTGCAGTTACCCCGGCCACGGCCGGGGGGACCAGGCCAGGGCTGTCCCCGGGCGGCGGAGGGAAGCGGGCGTATTCAGGCTGGAGACGGAGTTGGCAGGGCTTGCTGGTGGATGGAAGTGGAGGGGAGAGGAAAGCAGCAAGGGTGGCTCCCGGGTTTGGGGCCAGAGCCACTGTCCACAGGGTGGCACCTTGGCTGGGATCGGACTGGAGTAGGGAGAGAAGCTTTGCAGTGCTGTGAGCTGTTCCGTTTTGATGTGTTAACTTCAAGGTGTCTGTTAGACACTAAAACCAGATACAAGTGGGAAATAAAAGTTGCAGAGACACACCGAGTTAGATAGCAGCATAGCCCTGTTTAAATGCCTTTAGGAGATGGATAATAAATGAAGGATTGTCTGACCCAAACTATCCCAGCTTCCTAATCCTGTAAAAGTGACTGTGCTCCAGCCCACTGGCCCCTCAGGTATTCTTCCAGCAGGTCAGGCATGAAGGACCCCCACCCCGACCCCAAGGTCCTTTGCCTTTGCTCATTCCTCTGCATAGTGCCCTTCCTCCAGTGTCCCTTGTGGCTTATTCCCTCGCCCCCTTCTAGTCTTGCTAAAATGCCACCTTCTCCAGAAAGCCTTCCCTGACTGCTTTGTTTTAAACAGCCACCCTGCCCCAGCACTCCAGACTCTTTCCCTTCTTATTTTCCTCCGCAGCCGTGACCAGGGCCCACGCCGCCTGGCAGGCGCGCTCCCTCGACCCTGCCTCCCTGGCCTGGAGCCTCAGCAGCGTTGTAAACACTCGGTGGACGATATTGAATGAATAATCTAATTAAGTGAAAAGCTTTCTAATTAACTAATTGGTTTTTTAAGATCTGAGCCCAGATTTAGGACATATCTTAAGTATCTTCAACCATAATTCTCAGCCAAAGCTTCTGTCATTCACATGATAAGGACTGATCTAACATTAATTTTGCTCATTTTGATTAAAGTTAAGTGATTGAACTAAAAATTGTGAATCTCTGAAATAGATGGGTGCTGATTTAGGCAGAGACATCCTAGGTCCTTATCCATGGCAATTCTGAGTCTTTACATTCCTTCTTCTGATTCCCGA